CTTGACTTGCCAGTGTGTCGTGGAAGTGTCTTTTGTCTTTGGGTGCACTCTTCTTCACTTCTTTGTCCAGTGTAGTGTTTTACAGATTGTACTCAGTTCCTCTTCTTGTTGTGCATCCTTGCACTGCACTGGTTGTTTATCTTCTGCTTCACCATCCTCCTCTCCCTTCTCTATCAGCTTCCATGTGTCCATCGAGATCCATTCCATTCGTTATCTTCTTTCTTCTTCCTTCCTAATACGGTTATGAAGGTTTCCTTCCACATCTCTTTCAAAGACTTCCAGTGCTCATCCACAGAGGTTCCTTCAGGAATGTTGCTCGATATCCCCCATTTTGTCCTGATGACTGACGTGAAGATTTTCTTTGTAGTTTCGTCCTTCAGTTCAGTTTCTGTTCTGGGTGTTGAACTTGGACTGTGGTCTGTCATCACCAACTTCTTTGAAGGCTTTCAACTTGATTTGGAAGGTTCCTTGCACTAGATAGTGAGTGGTCTGAACCTACATCTGCTCCTCTTAGCTGACTGCGTCTCCACTTTCTTCACATTGAGATGAAGTCTATCTGATTTTTTGGTGTAGAGTGTCCATCTAGTGAAATCTAATCCATGTCGCTTTGTTGATATCCTTGTACTTGAACACAGTGCCTCACTCCAATCACCAAATCGTTGAATGCACAGAATTCTGCAAACAATTCTCCATTCTCGTTCATCACCACACCGAGCACTTCTCGACCTATGGTTAGTTCTCTTCCTGTATTGTCCGCCTCCAGCTTGGCATTCACGTCTCCCATTAGAATTTTGATGTCGCCAACTGAGGTGGTTTGTCTTGTCCAGTGTTGATTGCAGTTGTCTGTAGAATTCCTCCTTCTTCTCTTCATCTGCATTGTTTGTAGGTGCGTAGTGTAGCGTGGCATTGTACGATTGTGACTTTCCTTCATTTTGAGTTGAACCTTGCTGTTATGATCGTGATCCTGCAGGATTAGGAGATTGGTTCCCACTGCGTGAGAGAGAACCTTCGATGTTGTTGGGGACATGATGATAGCCACTCTCTCCATGTGCTCGTCGTGGTTGTTGTCTGGGTGACAATATTGGAGTAGATTATTGACCCCTCTCCAGTTGACAGTTTGGAGAGTTCACTTCACTTCCATTCCATATGCCTATCTCTCTCAGATTCCTACCACTTCTATGCTATCTATACCTTCTCATCTCTTTTGCAATCTGGGCAGCCTTGGTAGGTTCAAAAATGGTGCGGGCATTCCATGTCCTCACGTTTACTTTCACTTTCATCGAGGGAGAGAAGACACATTGTCCAATTGGCTTCCTGAAGGCAGGCTTTCACCAACTGGCGTCATTTCGTCTTTCCGATTCCAGTGAGGAATGAGTTTGTTTTTAGGTTTTTTTTGTGGTTTGAAGTTTGTTTCGCGATTGGATTGGTTATAGTGGTTATGGTTGCTAGCTGTATGCCCAACCTTCCTCCTTTATCGAGGCTTAGGACCGGCTAATAACTAGTGAACCAGTTAACCAGGTGAGGTTAGGGATTTCATGTGGAAGAATTAATAATATTGGTTACATAAGACGACTTGATACTAAGTTCAGGTTAATTGCTCCTAACAATACCTATGTTTTCTTTAGATGTCAATGCAAAGTTTCGTTTCTGCAAGCCATCTCCTTTCTTTATGTTACCCCAATTTTTTTCTCCCAGAAAGTTTCTTGTCTGTCTGTCTATATATATATATATATATATATATATATATATATATATATATATATATATATATATATATATATATGACTCTATAGTGCATACAACGGAGTGGAATATTCTGTTAAATTTGGTGTTACATAAATTAGTTACATTGCCTCAAAATTACTTGGTGAGGAGCCTAAATGTAAGTGTTAAAAAAGTGATGACTGACAAGTAAAAAGGAGAAAGTACGTCTTTAAAAACATAAATGCATTCACTGCAACTCTTCAGTACATAGTCATCATAGAATAATAATGACAATAATCATGACGATAAAAGAATATTCTTGTAGATAAGGAAGGATGAGTTCATCTGCTGCACGCTTTTTAGTATTTTTTTTAAAATTGACTAACAGGATTTACGTAGAACCTTGCAGACAAGTGCAGCGATCCAAGTTGTCAGACTTCACAGTAGTTCAAAAAAAACAGGTGGTGATATCAAAGTAGACAAAGTTGTATGAGATAGTAAACAATTTGAGGATGAAGGTTAGTGTAAATATCCAAGCTTTAGAGGATGTCAAGCAAGAAAAACATTTGTGCCATTGTAATTGATCCTCAGCTTCGATCACTGATTCCTTTCGTCTCAGGGACCTTAACCATGCAGTCTACATTTCACACGGCTCAGGGACTTCATCGACTCGTTTCAGGACTTGTTCTGGCAACCCTGAACCCTTTTTCAACCTAATCCAACTTCTCCAAGCATGGCACATCGAGGTATGTAGTGGCTCTGCATGCTCCAAGCCATCTTTATTGGATGGAAGTTCGCAGCGTAATCAGTTACCTTGCATTTCTTACGTAGTATACTTCACTGCCTAACCTCAGCATTGCTCACATTAGTGTTTTTTTAATTAGCCTACTTGCAATCACCAACCATTGACTTTCACTACTTAGAGAAAACGTGCATAGTTGACATAACGTTTCTATAAATTGGTATCATACCTTTGTACATCTTCCGTTTGGATCTCAGTCATTTATTGCCAATTTCATCATTCTAGTACACTGCAGTAGTCCATGGTTGAACATAAGCAGCCAGTGAAGGTTAACCCCTAACAGTTAGTTGATTTTGTTATATATTCTTCACTCATATCCTCTACGCTTGATGTCATTGAATTTCCAGCTGATGTAACAGCAGCTATCAAGGTGACGTTTACATATTTTCTAATGTATTTCATAAAATTGTTATAGGAAGCAACTGCATATTGTGCTCTGCTCGTTAACCTTGAAGGACGATCGATACCACAAAGTTCAGCATTGTTTTACACGTTTTTTTTTGTTGCTTGCATGAAATATTTATCAATTTCTGACGTAACAATTTTAATCACCTTTAGTAATTGAAGTCAGCGCGATGAAATTAGATGATGGGTATTCGCTGTGAAACAACTTCAATGTTTATGTTACCACATGTGTATGGCGAGAGGGAAGGGGATACATCTTCTCCTACCTAGTATTCAATCTGTCTATAAATTAAAGCTCTGAATAAAAATGAAAGCTATTGGTTAATTAGTCAGATGTATGGAGATTTAATAAGCCCTAAAACTTTTTTAGGAAAATATTTAGTGCGTTCTTTTTATGAGAAGAATTCAATAATTTTGCATGAAGCTTGTTGTAATCATGATATTATTGTTACGATTACTATTTGTTTTGATACGAAGTCTGTTTAACCATGATTGACAGAGAGTGTATAGTATCATATAGCAGACCGGAACTTTTAACAGTGGTGATCAATTGAATAAAATAAAGACAAAAGCTAAATCATTATCTATATGTGTAAATACAATAGACAAATAATTGAAAACTACCTATTATAACACAGTTTTCTGAATAGTTATAAGGATACTTCGTTAAGTATTCAGAAAACTTCACTTTAGAATGTTGTAATGATTTCTGTTATGGTAAAAATGCTTGTTGAGTGTTCAAATTAAGCAGAAAAATCTCTTTTTAAGAGGACTACTGTCTATGCCTTTCAATTTGAAGTCTTTTTTCACATGATACTGAGGCCACACAATCCATACTATTTACTCTTCCTGTTCTACAGTCCTCTCTATCATGTTATATAAGGCTGTTAGACATGGCCGTTGAAAAATATGAAGCGGTTAAAAGTTTTTGACTATTGGCGTCTTGGTAGCATACCTCGCGTATTGAAGAAATCACCGTATAAGCAATATAGAGGTTAGATGAATGGTACTAGACAGAAAGATAAACAAGTTGACCAATGCGGTTGTGAACCTTCAGCGACGAAGATTGATACGACTTGGGCATGAGTTACGTATACCGAGCCACCGCTTACCTCGACATGGAATGCAACCAGAAATTGGATTAAGTTAGAAGAGGGTTCAGGTTGACTAGACCAAGATATGGCACCAATCGATCAAGTCTCTGACTGCCAGTCTGACCTGCATAGGGAGGTATAAACAGAATAGGAATTAATGGTTGGGAACTGTTGGTGAAATTACTATTTATTGGCATACTTGTTATTCTCCGTTGTTTTGTTGGATTGAATTGTTCGACCTCTATTGGCATATGGGCTCCAATGCGGATACCTCGATATTGCCTGAATGTTAATTATGATAAATTGGTTGATTGTGTCGTCCCAAATAGGACGAAACGTTCGTCCTGGTTTCTTCGGCTAGCCACAACCAACCAATTTATGTTGGTGAAATGCCTAGAAATCGGTCACTGACGCAGATGTTTTCATTCTTTGGCATCTTCGAAAACTTGTATGTTTTCTTCTCCTCCTTTACGCCTTTGTCTACTTTGATATCACTGTCTACCCACTTTTTGTTCACATGCTGCTGTGAAGTGTGACAACCTGACCCAATGCACTTCTGTGTGTGATTCTACGTGGGTTTTATCTGTCTTGTCTTAGGTGTGTTCTCTCGGTATCTACTAGTCTGGTAGTAAATATTGAAAACACTTTTGAAAAAGTTCAAGTTATTTGGAGGTAGTGAATAAGGTTTTCGTCACATAGTGTAAATGTTTGACGACATCCTAAATATTATGTAATCACTATTCATTTGATGAGTCGTAAATTGAACAGAACCTACGATCGAATTCTTTAAGTGTCTACCATGAAATTTCGTTCTACGTTATAATTTAGACTATATTGGTCGGTCAAGATTGTTTTTTTTATTTGACTGACGAGATTCTTTCTGGCCTTTCCACAGATCTGCATCCTGTGTGTATTGTAAACTGTTTTGTATGTAATATTTTTAAATCCATTTAATAAACCAGGTATTTCACTTCTATTTTTGTACATTTTCATAGATAATCGATTTCGGGTCACATTACGTCATACTGGAGATGGTAGTAAATTATATCAAGGTCTTCAAGGGAGTTTACATGTACAACATTGGAGATTGTGCTTAATTAGTGAACCATCGACTGGATGTAAATTTATTTGTAGTTGGCGGTTGGATCATGTAGATAAAGCGTATACAATGACTATGCCTGCTCAGAATGCCTGTCAATTTTTCCCACCAAACAGCAGTATTAGTGGTAATAATAATACTGCTAACAATACTACAACAGTGATCAATAATAATGCTACTACTTCATCTATTTCATCAAATTCAGTGGTAACTGCCTCACCCTCATTCAATAGTATTAACTCACAGAATTCTGATGCTCATCGAAGTTCCATTTCTTTTGGTTCTGGATCACGAAATCCAGCATTGATGTCGGCGACAACACAATCGTCTACTTATGCTAGTTCTAATAAACATTTATTTTTTATGGAATGCAGTCCTGCCTCTGGAAAGGGTAAGCATAAACATTCGATGATTTATAAATAAATACACTCCTAGGATTATTCAACTGTTTTAATAAATACATTCTTTGGGTTGTAAGATGATTATGGAGTCTGTCTGCAATTTAAAATAATGTTTTAATGATAGTCGGGGAATGTGTGAAGATTTCTTCACAAAGGTTTAGCAACTCTTTCGCTTCTTTTTCTTACGCTTCCCTCACCATGGTTTCACATTATGCTTACAAACAGTGTAAGTTGATCTAGCTAATGATTGTTGCTTGCTGATTCGTTTCGAACTCGACCGATAGCTGCTACCTTGACCTGGTGGTCAGGCTTGTATATTGAGAAATCACCCAGCGAGTTATGTTAGTTGAACATTTTTCCCCTCGAGGACGTACCATAACAGAAAGGTCTATTAGGTAGTGGTTAGATGAGAAGCTATTATAGTGTAAATTACTACGCTATGATGGAGGTCTGATGGTGAAGTCGTACCGCTGACTGGAAGGAGGTATGACACCAATAAGGTGTTTCCCTTCGAATGACCAGCAGTGCTACACTGATGCTGCCTCCCCTATGGGAAAGGAAGAGTTTGAAAAGGTCGCCCGTCAAAAAAGCACACTCCCATTCCTCCTGGCACGCCAGTGCATGCAATAGGGATTCATAGTCGGATTCAAAAGCGAAAACCCAGTCTTAAAGCTGCCAAAAAGCCGTATGTGATAGACCTCAAGGAGATGCCCCTTGGCCTCCGCGGGTCACATACTATCTCTTGTTTCTCAACCACCTCAAGGAGAACTAACTTTCCATAATGTAGGCAGCTGGGAAGTGTCAGCTACTCACATACTTCCAGTTCTAAAAATAGAGTATTGCTGAAGTGTTTCATTCTGTTATGTAGATTTCCTGATGAGTATGCACCCATGATACCTATTCGTACCACATTCACATAAATCAGGCTTTGCAGTGACAATGGTTTACCTTGTGCTCAAAAGTATCGTGAATTTTTAACTCATCGATCTAAAATGTGACACTAACATTAACAGATAACTAAAATACAAGCAGCTATCTCCGTTTATACCGTGGAGTCATGGATTTAAAGGTCAACATGATTGTCTTTGTTAGCATGAAAAGGCATGCCATCAGAAGATACGTGTGTCTGATAAGCAATAATGAGTCGGTTGAAGTTAGAATCGTGCTTGTTTCACCTACTATATTTCCTGTAGAGCTCTGTAGTTCATCGGTTCAGGATGATAAGTTTCAACTAGCGGGTCATGGGTTCGAATACCGCTCTACCTACCGAGGTTTGGGCAGCCAGGTGTGACTCATTGCCTACTACACGAACGCTCACAAAGTTGCTGAGCTCCTTTCAATTTTTGATTTTGACTATATTTTCCACTTTTATGACATCCTTCCATTTTTCAAAGGTAGAACATAATTAGAGGGAAGTATCTTCAGAAGTTCAATGTCAGCTATTTTGGGTTTCAGCCATGAGCAAATGTTTCCTAAATGTAACACTTTCCAAGACTTTAGCAATTGGCTTTAGAATGACCTGTTGAAGTATTCCACCTTTTTAAAAAAAAAAGAAAAGAGGCAACACCAAGAGTTTTGAGTGAAAGATTGATTGCTTGACTTTCGTTTGAACATCTGTAGAAATCAATTAACCTTGAAGAAACTATGCTCAGCACTAGACAACAACATCATCTTACAGTTCCGTTGGATTAATTTATTCAATACAACAGTGATATAACATTAATATAACACTATTTCATTGTATCAAAGAAACTAATCTACTTTAGAATAATTCCACTATCACAGTATCCACGTTTTATGCTTGCTCATTTCAAAGCAATTGTTTCAATCAAATAACAGTGTTTCTAATTGGCACTCAAAAGTTGGCTACAAAATAGGGAATAATAAATGAATATCAAAAAGTTGTCGTATCTATTTGATTATTGTTTTCAAAGAAATTTTAGTATTTGAAGTAAGAATGTCAAGGTTATTTCTCATGTGCTTGCAAAAATCTTCACATATCATAGAGCAATACCAAGAAATATTTTGTTATTTAGTAGTGGTCCTCACCTCCCATCCCCTTTTCCTTAGACTAATCTGGAGACGTATCATCCTTTGATTGTCAGAGGTGAATTACTTTAGCATAGTTCATGGAATCCTAATGGTCTAATAGTCATCTAATGAATAAATTAGGATCTCAGAAACATCACTTCCTACGGAATAATTCAGTTTCATCTACCTGAAGGTAATATTTTATTTTATCCTAGTTAAGATAGGAGTTGGTTTCTTGTTAGGACATTCGTCAATCGATGTAAAATAAACAGATAACAGTTTTTTTTCTACTGCGAACCAACCATAACAACAAGTATACAATAGATGAATATTTAATCATATTGCATCCATCAAATCTACTTTGCACCGATCTTTTGTTGAAGAATAATGAATGAACTAACTAGTCGATAATAAAGTTTGTTTAAAGCATACTGGTTATGTATATCGTAACAAGTGCATGAACATTGTTCAATTTTCAATATGGATTTAGAAACATATAGTCAATGAGTTTTTCAGACTATCCTCAAAGTAAAAAGAAAATTCGTTGTCTATCCTGACTTTGATAACAAGTACTTGTAAGTTCTCTTCTAAAAGCTACTGATAGGTATGAACACTATAGAAAAGTGTAGGGTGCTTTATTCAAACCGATAAGAGGGGTGTGTAACAATATCGATTACTACAACAGCATATTCTCCATTCAGTTTCTATCAGACTCCGGTTCTTCATTGTTTCGTTTTTGAGATAAAGATTACCAAGGAAGATTTAAGCTAAAGACATAGTTTTAAATACACAAAGAAATTTACAACTTTCATACAGATAAGGCTTCAATGAACCTAAGTATATAGTCCCATAGTCTCTTATATGATGGTTTAGAGGCTGTTTTATAGAGTCAATCCTGTGATCCCGACCTGATATCTCCCTGCCCTCTGTATTTATCGGATTATTTGAATGTAACTGTTCTTCTAGCCATTTAGGGATATGCTCCTCCACCCTCAACTTCATTATTCGATTACTCCTCCCAGTGTGTGTGTGTGTGTGTGTGTGTGTGCGTCACCGCATACACATTTAAATTGGTATACACAAAGGGATGTGACGTAATCATCTATGTAGTGATGACGTTTATTTTGAAGCATCGGTTTCATTTTCTCTATAATATTGAGCTTAGCTGCGTAGTACGTGTCTTCTAATAACTTAATTAAGCCTTCTTTTTAAGATCATACCTTTGACTGCGTATTTAATCATCCAAGTCCATCTGTACAGGATATCTTTAGTTATATGTAACAAATATGAGAGGATCCAGGAAGCTTTTTACGGAGACAACACCAAACGAAGCCATATCAGGTTATTATGTGAAGCGGGAAATAATAATCAGCTTCCTTTTCTTGATATATTATTAATTAGAAAGGAGTCGATAAAAGTTTACTGTATGGAAAACCTACGTGGATCGTACAGTACCTAAACAGTACTTCCAATAAAGCCCAAATGAGGTTTAATAAAATACTTGTTCTAAAGGAGTCAACGTATCTTCACTACAGATACACTGAAAGAAGAAATCCAATTCTTAATAAAGACATTCCTAAAAAACGCATATTCACCGAGGTTCATCAATCGCCATGAAAGTGTCAAGGTTGCGAACTAATCAGTATTAACATCACGCTACAGTATAATGGAGGAATCGAGCAGCATAGTCTTAAGACGAAGGCTTAATCCAGTCATTAAAAGGATATACTTTGCAACCAAGTTCAAATAATCCCTTAAATGAACGGGGGTAGACAAATATCATCATCTATAGGTAAATATATTTATAGAAATAGGTCACATGACCGATCTCATAAATGTCCTTTAAACTCTTGGTAATTGAAGTGAAATGGAAATTAGCTCAGTAGTCGAGTCTTGTGACTCAGTTTATAGTGCACTGGGTTGCAAACTCACTGGTTGTTGGTTCGAATCCTGTGGGGCCAAAATTTTCATTTCATTCTCAGTCATTACCGAATATTATATAGAAACCGTTTGGACCGTACGCTTACATTCATTGAAGCCGTAGCTATGCAAATGTTCAAACCCGTTTTATATTTTGTTTTTACTGCACGCTATATACTGTATGCTATGTATATCATTGTGAATGAGTGTTAATCAACATCTAGATGACATAATAACTACTGATAATCGTACTGACTTCTTTCACAGTTATTTCATTCATTTTTTTTATTTAATACTTTATTAATTTTAGGTCGTGGTTCATATATTTTCGAAATTGACGGTAGTCGATTAATTGAGTTGACTGTAGCTATTGAACAGTTCACTGCTTTACGTTATAATCCTAATCTGAGACCGGCTACATCTGCAGAAGCATCTCAATTGACTGTTACAGCTCAATCTGGTTTAGGTACAAGTGGTTTCAGTGGAACAGATTGTTGTAATAATATTTTTCGTAGTAATCCAGTCTGTACAAATCAAGTAAACGGTAATGTTGGACTTGATGATCTCGGTGTTGCATCTTCATTCTCTTCAGATACAAGTAGTAATCCTCGGTCAGTGTCACCAACACATCATCATCATCAGCAACAACAACAACAACAACAATTAACAAAAAGGCGTAGCCGTGATAGTATATTTAATCCATTACGTAAAATTTCTTCTGGTCATCATAATTTTAATTTCTTCAAAATAAATGATTATCAATCATCAACTATTGATCGTCTATCCAGTAAGCAAGTGTTACCACAATTTTATGGTCAATCATCAGTGCCTGCAATGAATTCCAAGTGTGGTTGGAGTCTACAAAGAACTTCATCTTTATCACCATCAGATATAATTACAAATGATTTAGTACTAGATAGTTATAATTCTAATTCATTATCAAGGCCAACTAACTGTGATCGTGTGAATGGGAGCAGTTTTAAAGGGCAAACAGTTGGTAGTGTCGGTGGTACAACTAACACTGGAGTTACACCCGCTGCTGCTGCTGCTGCTATTAACATTCAAGAAAGTATGTTGACATGATTCATCGATTATGTTCTTGCAACTTTACAATTAACTTTTCCACTATAATTGTTCACTTGGAATATTGTGTGCCTTTCGACCCAGAAGATTACTAAGTGTTCCTCTTTGTTTTTTATGTCAAGCAGTGTAACAGTCTTTGTAATTTTCGATTTGTTCACCTTAGATGATCTGGTAGATCTTTATTTTTATGCCACTCTATATATAACTGGGAATGTAAAGATGCAAGATAGGTTCTCATAGTACTTATTTCAGAAGACCCGTTGCTTATTTTCTCACTATAACATTCGTTACTATTCAGGAAGTGCTTTCCATTTTCCTATCGATTATGAAGGTTCTATTCATCACGGACTGACATCAGTTAGGGGACCATCGGATACCTGAATAACTGTTTTGTCCTAATATGGAACTCCTCAGCAGTAATACACCTACGACACCACCAGGAATCTAGCTTTCAGGTTTCCCCAACTGATGTCAATCCGTGATGACTACAATCGTGAAAATAATAATCCCTATGAACCTCAAACTAACTTTCTTATTACTCTATATCTAGTGTTCATTCTCTTTCCTCTGGTCCATGTTGATATATGTGTAGGTTTTTTTTGTTTGTTTACTTATTTCTCACGCTATCTACAAAGTTTGGCAACGTTCAACTGACATTTTTCTCTGTTCCCTGGCGTACATGGCTTACTTGTCTCTCTGTCTGATTATGATATTCCAGTGCTTACCATGGACATTGATTGCTAGCTTATGTGTGTTTATGTAAACTTTAATCACGGTGATGTACTGTGACACACTTTCTGAACGAGAAAAGAGCGTTTACATGTTGACTCTTTATGTTTTATTTTAGTCTACATTATTCCAGTATTCTCTGTTGAGTACACCTCTTGTAAATTATCGATCCCCGATCGACAGCTGCTACTTTAATGTGATGGTTGGGCTTATATGTCTCAATGACTCAACGAGCTATGCTGGTGGAACGCTTGTTCCCCCGAGTTCGTACCATATTATAGAAAGGTTTCTTGGGTAGTTGTTAGACAAAAGTTGTGGGACATGTCTATTGAAAGTAAAAGATGTGAAGTGCTTACACGGTTTTGATTATAAGTGTCTTCGTAAGATTGCTCACGTTTGGTGGAATCACTGTGGGAGAGCAATGATGAGGTCAGGCAAAGGGTACTACGTAAGATAATCAAGTCGATTAATGACGTTGTGAACGTTCATCGGCTGAAATGCGCATGTCTATCCACCAAATACTTTGAACTGTGAGAATTGAGGATGACCAGACCAAGACATGACACCGGGTGATAAAGTCTCTGACTGTTGATCTGAGTCTTGTGAGGCGATGTAAACTATCTGACTGGGGTCCCCGAGATGAAAGAAATCAGTGGTTGAGGACTGTTGATGACATGACTGAGAATCAGTCACAACGTCACATCTTCTAAAACTTGAATATTTACACTGACTATCATCTTCAAATTGATTATTCTCTCACACTACCTTATGTACTTTGATATCACTCTTATTCTATCCATTTGTCTTTATGAAGTGTGACAACTGGAATCGATGCCCTTCTGTACACGAGATGATTTCACACTAATTCTATCTGTTTGGATTATCAATCTCTTATGTCTGTATTCCATTATTTATGAGGCATATATATATATATCATCTTTGAACATCTTTAAGCAAAGTAATCTCATTTATTCGCCTACCAATAAGTATCATTGACATGTGAAGTAGTTGAAGAATAAGTTTGTTTTGTTTTTTCCTCTTTTAGTCCATTGTGAAGCGTTTAGTGATTTTATTATTGTTGTTATTATTATTATTATTATTATTATTATTATCCATTTTGTTTATTTTAATCAGCATTGCCATCGATTCTTTATTATTCGATCATATTTATCTTTATGCTTATGAATAGTGTTCACCTTAAAGGGCTAACGGTGTATTATTCATTTATTTGTGTACTTGTTGTTGTAGGCCCACTGCTTTCTTCCATTAGTTACGGTATTAGTAGTAGTTGTAGCAGCAACAGCAGTAGTGGTAACATTCAAAGCAGAGTATTTTACAAACTGTTTAGTTAGATAACAAACAAATTTTTACCGTGTTGTCATGTGTTTTTGTTTTTCTGATTTGCTTTTCTTGTTGTTGTTGTTGTTGTTGTTGTTGTTATATGCTTTAAGGAGGGGAATGAGTAGCAAGTAATCACTTCGTTTTTCTTTTAACCACTTCTTTCTTGTCACCGTTCTTGTTCTTGTTTCCTTTAATGATATCAAATTAACCAACTAACAGTCAATTGATCCAAATCTTAAATGTATATATAACTTTTTAAAGGTGTCTGTCATGGTTTAAGGGTTTTGTTTTAATCAATGAACTGTTGTTTTTCGTTTGCTGATTTACGCAATCAATCAGACTAGGCTTTTAAAACCATACTCCTAAGCTTGTGAAGTCAGTTAACAGTATGGTTAATATTAATTTAGAACTTGGTCAATATGTCATGGGCTTACACTTAGGTATTCGTTCATCTTGTTTAGTATACCTGACCTGGTTTTACGAAACCGAGAAGTTGTATGCTTATCACGATATAATTATAACAGATGGGTTGTGTTCGGAACGTTCTCCAGTAAATGTTTTTAAATCAAGCAAATCTACTCCCTGGACGGCATCTAGTTGACTTTGAGTACACAGATAAAGACACTGACAAAATACAGGGTCTTCTGAACACGATGAGCGGGGTCTGTGTATGTTTGACATGATGCTTCAGGACTGGTCCACAACTACTCTTTTATTTTGAGAATAAGGAGTGAAGAGGTTGAATACGACCACTACTACACCGCACTGCAGCAGTCCCTTCTGTCCTGTTATACAGGTGTGAGTCATGGCTGTTAAAAATGGGAGATATGAAAAGGTTACAAGTTTTTGACCACAGATACCTTTGCATCATTGCTCCCGTATTGAGAAATCACCATGCGAGCAATGTTAAGGTTACGCGAAGGGTACTAGACGGCAAGACAAGTAAGTTGTGAACCGTCGCCCGAGTGAGGTAGCTTGAACATGTATTGGTTATGCCAACACTTGCCTGACGAAATAGGACTGAGTTTGAATAAGGCTAAATGTAACCATAGCGAGATGTGGTATCAATCCAGAAAGTCTTTGACTGTTAGTCTGAGCCGTGTAGGGAGGTGTAGACTGGCTTGCTGGAGGATAAGAATCAATGGTTGTAGACTTGACTGAAAACCGGCGACGATGGTGCAGATGTATTCACTTTTTGAAGTCGTCTAATGCTTGGGTGTTTTGACTAAAGTTAATTTTTAAATTATTCCTCCTCCCCAGCACTTTTGTCTACTTTGATATTAGTCTTTCTCTACCCACAAGTTGTTTGCAGGCTATTATATGAAGTTTGACAATTTGAACCGATGCGCTTGTGTACGAGGTTCTACTTTGATTTTGTCTGTCGTATCAAACAAAGTAACTTCTAGTATAAGTAGTACAATCAACTTCCATAAATAATCCCGGAATACTAACCTTACTGCATGAATATGAATTTAGTTGCTAAGTTATGCTCAAAATTTCTTTCAGTGGAAATGAATATGCTTATTATGAGTAGTGGCATTACATACCACAAGTTTGCATTATATATCAATAGTTTATAAAACTTATTTCTCATCGACATGATATTCAGACGTGTTATACAGAGATGAAAGTTAAGTGGGAGACTATTTCAGAGGAATCAAGACGTATTCAGTAATGAATGACACATTGATTGATACCCATATAAATAATAATATTCATAATAGAGACCAATGGCAATGATTGTTAAGTGTTAGGTGATGAGAGTCAGTTTCTGTGACAAATATTTTGAATTAACGTCGTTTTATTCAATAGCAATTTCGTGGAAGTAGTTAGATATAAGAGAGTCTTGAGTTCTGTCAATCGAAGGTTGTAGAGCAAGCATTTAAACCAAGCACACTGACCCCTACTATCTTTTTATTTTGTTCCAATGTAAACAACTACAATTAATGATCCTGGATTTTGTTTAAAACTTCTCAAGAACATATCTATATGAATTACATCAACTAATATTGGCTCTGAGATTATAAATATACAGCCGCAGTTAAAATATATTTGTAAAATTCCAATGAAATGAAAACATACGTTTCTGAAGTCTCACGACCTCATAAAAGTCTCTTCTTCAGAGAATGAAGCCTGTAAACGTTATCGCCTGTTTAAATAGTTTATTTTTTATTATTTGTCCTTTGGGTTCCTAGTGGAACATACAGCTTCAGCAGCAAGTCGCCATTTCACTCTCTTCTTTACAGTCTTTTCAACCTGGCTCCACCACTACCCACAAGCTTTCATTTCCTCCTCACACCATCTCCTCCATGTCACCCTCACCTCGGACGACCAACTCATCGTTTCCCCTTTGGATTCCACTCGACGACCTGACCTGGTTCGTGATGTCCTCAGATGGTCTCCTCAGTGCATGCTCAATCCATCTCCACTTCCTTCTTCACACTTATTGGCCGATAGGTTCTTCGTTGGCTGGTTCTTTGCCAGCCAGTCAGAGCTCCTTGTTGCTTATTCTTATTATTCTGGCCATCTGATCTGATCTTTAGTATCGAGTGAGCGTAAGTGGCAGCTGTTGATGATGTATTTCTGTAGTTTGTTGGAAATGCTTTTCGTAACCTGCCAATTCTCTGAAACATCACATAGAAACACTGACTGGACTGGCATTAGTGTTGAAAATCCGGATCTTGTTCCCGCTTTATGCTGAGTGCAGTAGATCTCCACACTGGTTTGGGATTGGTGAAGGCCTGTCTTGCTTTTGGATTTAGGCTTTGACGTCCTGATCTGTGCCACCACCTGCAGTTGAAACGATGCTGCACAGGCACGCAGGTAGGTGAAAGAAACAACGTCCTTTAGATTTTTCCCGTTGACGGTGCTTGTTGTTGTTGGTGGTTGGGTATCCTAATCACCGCTACCTCTGCTGTCTTCTCTACGTTCACCTCAAGCAAGTCTCGTCTTCACCGCCCTGCCTTTTCTCCCAACTTGTTACTTTTCATCTGTAGATCTTCGCGTTTGTGCGACGTTAGACAAATCATCGGCGAAATCCAAATCTTCTAGAGTCTTCTCATCGGTCCAGCTAGCGTATGCCCATCTCTCTCCCCACAATTTTCTGCATGATCCAGTCGACTACGATCAGGAAGATCATCAGGGATAGTAGGCGGCAACCTTGTCTTACTCCTTCCTATCTTCACTTCAGATGCATTAATTGGCATATAGCATCATATAGCATATAGCTGTCGAATGAGGTTGATAAAGTTTTGTGGCATTAACAGCGTAGTGTTGAAGCAGCTGCCTGTCAAATCACTTCCGTGTCGACTCTGTCAAAGGCCTTTTCAAAATCGATGAAGTTGAGATTGAGTTGAGTTGACTGGTATTCTACGCTCTGTTCTATGATGACGCGTAGCGTAACGTTGCGATGTGATCCGCACATGATTTGTTTTTCCTGAAGCCTGGCTTTTCCGGTCATAATTTTTAATCTAGCCCATCGTTTGTTCTCTCCAGTCTAATGCAGCTTAGTATTTTGTTTGGGGTGGGGACAGGAGCATGATTCCGCGCCAGTTGTTGCAAAGACTTGGCTCTCCGTTGTTTGGGAGTTTGACAAGGTAGCCCTTCTTCCAATCAGTGGGCAGGTACCTTTCCTTCCTTCCAAACCTTCTACAGTAGTGGTGTGAGCATATCCGCTGTTGTCTCTGCGTCTGTTTTCGGTGCTTCTGGTGGAATTCCATCTGGTCATGCTGCTTTTCCTGGATTTCACCAACTTTGTGGCTTTCATGACTTCACTCCGGCTTTTGTCGGAGGGCTTGTGTTCACTTGTAATTGTGTGACTGGTCTGCTGGTGGTATTTCTGGACGAGTTGTAGGTGGTGGTGGTGGTCGATTCAAGAGTTTTCCGAAATTGTTGCCTCATTCTTTCCTTTGTTTCTCCTCGTTGCTAACCAGGTTTCCTTCACTATCTTTCATTGGTTTCGTCTGTGTTGATCTCTCCCCTACCAGATTGTTTAACCGTGAAGCTTTCATCATCTTTCTGGATGACACATCATCAGCACTAAATTACGGTTATTTGATATAGTGTTGTCAGATCTCTCTCTGTCTCTCCTACCTGCAGCCTGTTCTGCTTCACTTGCCAATTTGTCGTACAAGTGTCTTTTATCTTTTCGTGCACACTTGTTCACTTCCTCGTCCAGTGTTTTACAGATTGTACTCAGTTCCTCTTCTCGTTGTTCGTCCCCGCATTGCATTGCATTGCATTGCACTGCACTTCAATGTACTGGTTCATCTTCTGCTTCACCATCTCCATCTCCATCTTACTCTCACTCCTCTCTCACCTTCCACATATCCGTCGACATCCATTCCTCGTCCTGTCTTCTTCTTTATTCCTTACCAACACACTTATGCAGATCTCATTCAACGTCTCTTGCAAACAGTTCCAGTGTTCATCCATGCACAGTTACTCGGCAATATTTCTCAATGTCTCCCACTCTGTTCTGATGACCGACTGACATGTGGATGTCCTTCGTAGTTTCCTCCTTCACTTTCTCTTCTGGGTGTTCAACTTCAACTGTGGTCCATCACCAACTTCTTCTTCGAAGGTTTTCAACTTGATTTCCAAGGTGGGTTGCTTGCACTAGATAGTGAGTAGTGGTGTCAACCACCTACATCTGCTCCCCTTCTTCATCTCATCTCATCTGATGTGATGTGATGCTGTGTCCAGTCCACTAGGCTGGCTGCGTCTCCATCTCCACTTTCTTCACATTGAGATCAAGTCGATTCGATCTGACTGGTAGTGTAGTGTCTCCATCTGGTGTCTGGTCAAATCAAATCCATGTTGCTCACTTTGTCAATATCCTTGTGTTTGTACACACTGCCTGACTCCAATCACCAAATCGTTGAATGTGCAGATGTCGGCAAACACTTCTTCATTCTCATTCATTCTCATTCTCACCAAGTTCCTCTCTTCCTGTGTTGTTCACTCCCAGTTTGGCTTTCATGTCACCCAACCCATTAGAATGAATTTTGATGTTGCCAACTGGAGTGGTGTCGTGTCCAGTGTTGATTGCAGTTGTGTGTAGAATTCCCCCTCCTTCTTCTCTTCATCTGCATTATTTTTAGGCGCGTAGCTTATCACTATGATTGTTTTTCTACCTCATTGAGAGTTTACAAATATATTCCATTGATATTCCGCTCACCCAATGTCTAACTTACTCAGCTCTCAGGTTGAATTCTGATCCTGAAGTCTGTAAAATCTAAGCAATAGTTATTACTAATGTCCTGGAAGAAGTTGAGCACCAAGTCTAATCTAATAAAAATCTATGTATACTGTGCTTAGAAAGTTTGTGGCTGACACAGCGAAATATTCAGAAAAGCCTTGTTTCGATATGTTTTTAAATACACTGGGATTATATTAAATCACGTATACTTTTCTAAGAATATTGATCCTCTTTAATACCAAATTTAAGCACGTAGCTCAGTTTTATGTGGTAGTCGAGACAGTTTTGCTAATCTTTAATATTAAAAGATTTCTGATGACCTCCAAAAGTGAAATTTAGTCGACTTTATGATGATTTTTAATTGTATGTTTTCATACCAAAGCCGTCTACTTTAATCTGACAGCTTCGATGGTTTGGACGGTTCAATATAAGACTGAGCATTACGGCATGATGGCCGAAGTTGCCATATCCCATATCATCGCATTAAGTAACAACGTAATAAGATGAAACCAAAGTGTAGATAAGTCTGCGCCATTGACATCGATTCTGAACCATATCGCCTATAGTCAGTCTCCAACTACTGGTTTCTGTTGTCACACGGACCCCAACAAGTCAGTCTACATCTCCCAACATGGCTCAAATCAATAGTCAAAAGTTTCATGCAGAGATGCTATGTTTTAGTCTGGCTTTTTCGACCCTTCAACCAGCATTGCACAACAAAGTAGACGGTGACTAGGCATGCGTAACACGTCTCAGACATCTCAGTCGATGGAGGTTCACAACCGCTTCAACTTTCCTCTCCTCCCTAAAACTCTACACTTGCTTGTATGTTACTCATGTGGTGACACCACGACATACAGTGTATACTATGAAGGCTTATGCGTGTAAATACACTTTTCGCCTGTTCATTAATCGTTTAATGAGAAATCCTCATTTGTGTGTGTATGTGTTCTCATCACTTCCAGGAATATCACTTCAATAACGCCTAGATGCAGCTAGTTTACAATTGAATTTGGTGGTTTGTAGGGATTTAGGGATTTTTTTCAAATTGGTATTCAATATGGACTGGTATCAGTTGCAGAAACAATGGAAACCTGGTAGCACTGGACAGCTGTAACATCCTAGTATGGGACTCCTCAGCAGCGTGCACCCATAACCCCCAGAACATTCAGATTTCGTGACCTCTACGTTACTGTTTAGCCACTGGGTGAGAATCCACTGGTCCATATTTCCAACTTCTATCAGTTCACGACATAGTGCAACCATCACGCATTGTCATCATTGTCTCACCGGCCATAACGTTGCATTGTAACTTCAGGAATCACCTCTTAAAGCTAGTCATCAATTAGTTTACAATTTCTTACTTGATTCAACATAATCTATTGTCTTACATTAACTTGTGACATATATATATATATATATATATATATATATATATATATATATATATATATACTCCTATGAGATGTAAACCATATTTCATAGTGCTAATTCAATCATTTTCTTAATAATATGCGCACAGTAAGTTATGCATTTAAAACGATCACCTTTCTCAATAACTTCTTAATAATGGTGAATAGTGTGGAAACAGTTGAGAACGTGTTTACTAATCAATTTATTATTATTATTGTTATCACTATTATTATTATTGTTATCATTATTATTATTATTATGCTTTTGTATTGAGTGGAAATATACTAGTCAAATAAGATGAACAGATAATTGTAAGTTTAGTTTTCTCTGTTTTGTTTTGCTTCAGGTGTGTTAAGAACTACACTTCATTATTAGTGTGTTTCTTTGCAAGTTATATTGATAAAAGTACGAGGAGAAAAAAAAAAGGAAAGAAATTCAAAGTGATGTATTTACTGCCTACAAATATTAATGATTAAATTTTCTACGTTTCACTTATTATATTTCATTTACGTTTTAGACACCAACAGTCCAACTGACACTTCAAATTCAATGATGAAACCTTCACAGAATCTAGATTTCAATATATATAATCTTGATCGATCCATTGCTTCTGTTAATCCACCTGCATCTTCTATGTGTTCCTGCTCACCGTCAATTACTGGAACCATTCACAGTAGTAGTAGTAGCAGTAGTAATAATAATAATGTTCATTTCCCTGTGCTTTCAAACTTATCCTATCGTTTAGTAGATGATAGTAATACTTTGTCTTCATCTCTAACTGGTCATGATTTAATTGAAAATATGTCTGATACAAATTACTTTCTTGATGATAATGTACAGGTGGCTAAAGTTGCAGCTGGTCTGATTATTTCTAAAAAACCACCTTACTATTACAATAATAGCGTCATTACTAGTGTAGGCAACAGTGTAATTGGCGGTAGTGGTGGCGGTTACCCTCTACGAACCTCGTGTAATATAACAACAACCAGTGCACTATATTTTGGTCCAATTAATCTAAACAATGTGACTACTACTGGTAGTCATAGACAAGCACCACCACTTCCCCCGTCTTCTTCATCAATCCGTCATCATCAACATACTCATCATCATCGTCTTGTTATTGAAGGTAGTCTATCATCAAGTGGATGTAGTACAACTGCAGTCCTCCCATCAGTTCCTATACCATCTATTGGTACTAATCCTCATTCTATTATGCAACATTCATCTTCTTCATGTTCTAGTGAATGTAGTCGAATACGTTTTCATCCTGATCTACAATCTAAGCAACAATCACATCCACCACAACAACAACACCATCGTAAAAGTTCATCAAATCTTAATTTATCCTGTCAAATATCTGATTCATTGCACACATCAAATTCAGATTTGAACCATGGTCTTGTTAACTCTTCAATGGAATCAACATTAGATCAGGTTGCTAATAACAAAGAGTCTCATGTTATAAATGAAAGTATACCTCCAGTTCAAACCACTTCTACTCATGAAGTATTCAGTACAGATGAAGACTTCTGGGATCCTCGCAACTGTAGTAACCATTGCAAAGCTCAATTAAATTTATCAAAAACTAGTTTGATTGACGGTTGTGTTAGTGATGGTGATATGCTGAAGAAATCCAATCATCTTTATATTATGAGTAAGTCATTGTATGTTTGATTCAATTGCATTCTTTTCAAATTGTTTGCCTTACAATTCAATATCCTTGTTTTCTCAGCCTTATTATGTTTGGGAAAGTTGTTTACGATGTTTTTAATCATTTTTTTCTCTCCATCAGCTGATATGCCATCTTCATCAACCGCATCTGGATCACATGTATTTAAAGAATCATGGTTTGATACATCTGGGCGACACAAATCCATCAGTGCAACACACAGTCCTCATCCCTTTTATCTATCATCAGTTGAGCCAGGACAGTGTATTTATCGTCATCGGCTGCAACAGTATCGTGCTTGTCTTTGTACATCTCTACTTCGGAGATCATTTTCCGCTAATTTTAACCTTCAGTTAATTGATATATCGAATTCTGTGCAACCAGACTGTCGTCCATCGTTGACATTACGAGCTATGCGTTCGTTAGATAGTTGTATTGTTTCTCGGTTAGCCGTGTCGAATGATGAATACGATTCGGTTCAGAATATTTCTGGTCATAATTCTAGACATTGTCGTGCATCACGGTCATTCAGTAATAATTCGAATATTTCTGTTCGCCCTCCACCATGTAAATCTATTTGTGGAGGCCGTTTACAAAAATTTCACAGGTAATTTTTCATCTGTCTGCATATCACTTTTTCTGCTAGGTTATTTATTGTGTGAAATATATCCATAATGATCAGCGAAGAGTCTCTTTGCAGCGACTTCATTTTCAAAGCTGTACCATCGCAAATTTATGCATTTTTTTTCTAGTTTAAGGACTTGATACTTGGAAATGGTTTGTCAAAGATAGCAACACAAATTGTGTCATTCTTTTGACTTAAGGATACAACAATTGGTATTTTGAATGCCTCTAAAGATGACCTTAGCAACCTCTGAAATAACTAATTAGGTTAAGTTTCTTTATTTCACCTAGGTTGATGGTTTCTTCGAGTTACCTAAAGGCCATCCTAGCAAACATTAAAACACCCAATTAGATTTCATTACTTCGACTGAATAGAGGTAGTTTTCTCATAACATGCAAAATTCCAATTGGCTATTTCAGGAGTTGTTAAGTTGCCTTTAGAGCCACTCGTTTTTCCACCAACTAGCTAAACGTGGTTGGTTATTTCAGTAATTACTTGAGAGGCATTTAGAGACTCGTTTTTTTTTTGAGTAACTCTAAAGCCTATCCCAGCATCAGCTGAAATAACTAGTTAGGTTTCTGAATTACAACTGTTTTTCGTATAATAATGAAACGTAATTGGTTATCTCAAGAGTTAGAGTGACCCTTAAGGGCAACCCTATTATTTCGAGTGACTTTAAGGGCAATCTTAGCAACTACTGAGACAAGCAATTACGTTCCCCTATTTTTCAGATTGCAGTCTTCAAATGTCATATGCACAGTGTCTTCAAAGGCCATCCTAATAAATAATCAGGTTTCTCAATTCCGACTAGAAAGATGGTTTTTACATGAACTCTCTGAGATAACTCCTCTTTGCTGGATTTCTTGTTCATGATATCACAATAGAAATTATTTATATTGGTAGGTAGGTCATTTCCTCCACAGTTGCCTCTGTGTTACATAGACATAGTTTCTAAACGTATAAATCAAGACTGCTTGTAATTTTTGCTGTAATCTTTGTATAATTCTTTTGTTTTATTTAGTGTAGTGAATCATTCTCATATTATTTGGTATATTGTTATCTTTATTCTTTCATCTAATCAAAGGTTATTTCATCGTAAGCATTCTCAAAGTCATGATAGTCTTCAGAACCGAAGAAACTCTGTGGATAAACCTTCTTTATTCAGTGACCTGGACTGTTGTATGCAAATAACTGATAGATTGAATTCCGATAAACATTTAGGTTCAAATATACCAACCTGGGATGAGATTGATGGACGTGAAGATCACCTCACTACCAGTAGTCGAAGTAGGAGTATCGATCTTTCATGTCGGATTATTATCTGCCCTCGACATGGTGTTCGAAGTCTCCACTGGGACATGAATCAACTGCAAATTCTACGGTCAAATAGTAAGAAAAGTAGTAGTGTTTCAAAGCCGAAGAAGCTAAATCAACGTATCACACTAACCTCTAGTCATCAGAAACATTCCAAGTCTCCAGTTCTACCATCTCATTCTTCAAATACTGCTATACCTAACATTATTTTATCCGTACCGCTTTCTGTTCGTTTAGTGAATCGACAAAATCATCATTATTTCAGAAAGAGTTCTGACCACTTCACAAAGAAGGTGAAATCGAAAGCTACAGCTTTAGATTTACACGAAAGTAATAGTGATACTGATCCTGCTGTGGATCTCCCCACAATTAAGCATGCAACACCAAACAACCATCCGGTAAGTTTGTTACTGCTTTAGCATTTTCTAAACACATTTTTCCATACTTGTTAACTATTTGAAGTACTAACTGGTTTTCTTTGTAGTCTTAGGGTTCTTGTGTATGTTTGTCTTCATGGTGCGCAGTGCGTAGACTTAGTATTTCATGGAGTAGATTTACAGTAGAAACTTCCTCTTCTCTTAGACATGTCTGTGTACATACTGTGCATGCTGAGATGGTATTTAACTTTGCTCTGAAATGAATTCAACTTCGTAATAAAAGATGGCAACCAACCTTCGTTTGCCTCTAGGGAAGAAAATATCTCACGCTTTAAAGCCTGATTACTTTGGCTGAGGATTCATACAGATACTAGAAGGGAATCGACTTTCAACCAGTGACTTTCGGGTTCGAACACCGCTCCATCTACCGAGGTTTGGCAAACCCCATGGTATCGTTAGCCTTCGCACTATATGTGATATATCTCATTGTCTACTGCACAGAAGTGGACAAGATTGCTGAGTGGATTTCTGTTTCGACATATTTTAGACATGTTATAATCTCTTGTCAGTCCAAGTTGTCAAAATTCACACCACCATATCGAGACTGAGTAAACACCAAATTTACCATTGAAGTAATGATGATAGAATGAGTCTTGAAAAGCTGTAAAACTGAGAAATGATAATCTGAGGCACAAGATTGCTTTAGTTTTTATCTTTCAGTTCATCCACTCAAAGCACCCTTATTGTAAGCATTTCAGTCGATAATAGTTGCAAATCAACCCAGCGTATGTTGTATGAGAGTCTATGATATACTGCTTGGCTGCCTAGGACGAAATGGCAAGAGCCTAGTTCATTCCTAAGATTTATGGCTTAAAGGTTGAATACCTGAAGTCGATGAGTTACTACTCTATTTGGTAATCTCATCAAGTGATTCACATTTACGCCTGACCACCGACTACATTGATGAGGCAGTAACTCAATGATATTAAAATTTATTAGCTATGTCTTATGAAAGGGAATGATTACCAAGAATCCCTCTGTACTTTCAACAGTTAGGGAAAACACTTTATCTTTTATAGTAATGATGGGCAGTAGCTAGCAGCGGAATCCAGGATGCGCATTCCGTCTTATTTGGAACTCGTCAGCTGAATGTACCTGCCTCCCAGTGAGTGATGTTGTTCCCACTGGAATTCGGGAGCGATCGCTTCAAACGCCAAAGCGTTATCCACTACACCACCGAGCCACGATAGCCACTTCCTGTGCTACGGGTATAATTCCTAGTATATGATTGTTTTTATATCATACCATCGTTGATTGGACCTAATTGGTCAGTCTCTGTTGGCATATGGGCTCCTGTGCGGATGCCTGGATATTGCCTGTGTTTTAATGATGTATAGTAACGATGGGCGGTGATTAGCAGTGGAATTCAGGATACATAATTTTTTTGACGTTAATTAAAAAAACTCATCTACAGAATAATTCTGTGTTTTCACTTTGTTTTTTTTTTTTTTTCGTCTTCAGCTTCCTGACGATGAAATTTCACGTTCATTATCACCTTTACACAAACATTTCTCTACATCGTCTACAATAAATCAATTGTGTAGTTATTCTACAATTGGTAATTACAATCCCCCTCCATCTAATGAAAGAAGTCAATCTCTTATATCAGTAAATTCATTGCCATGCTCTGAACCTTCATTGTCCAAAGTTGATTTACTTCATTCTCTATTACATATTAACTGTGACAATTTAACAGAAACTTGTTTAAAATCAAAATTTAATTCCCTACTATATAAACACCAAGCGGAACAGGATAAGGAGATTAACTTATCACTTATACATAACTCACATCATCGTCATCATTCAGAGCTAAGTGGTTCATTATCATCAAATGATTTCAAATGTCATCCATTATTAAGTTGTCATGATAAGTCATTGGATTCGTTAACTACTCATTGTGATGTAGAATTTTTGGCTGAACTACGCTCACATTTATTACAAATGAATTCTCAAAACAACAATGATAATAATAATAATAATAATAATAATAATAATAATAATAATAATAATAATAATAATAGTGATAAGAAGAATGAAAATGGTACTGTTGTCGACACTCATCATCATCAGATAAAAGAGAGTAGTGAAGATTGTCCTTCTATCCGTCGTTTAATGAGTTCTTCATGTCATAGTGGTGATAGTGGTAACAGTTTACAATTATCACCTACTCCTGACAGATATACTAAACATGGACAATTGTTCCAAGCAATAACATCATCAGGTGGAGGTAATGATAAAGTATGCTCAAAATTGTCTTACTTGACCAGTGGAATCAGTAACAACAATCTGAATCATTCGGTGAATAAAATCGGTACTAATGGACAATTGTACACGTGTAAATATGAGCGATATGCCCATAATAGTGTTAAACCCATTTCTTCATCTTTCATTTCCACTACAATAAGAGCTAATACTTTACCAACTACAAAGATACTTCGTGAACAATCGATTAATAAAAACACTATTCATGATGGTTATAATACTACTGGTAATAAAAATCCATACTATCATGCATATATCAATTCAAGAATGAGTGTTGTTGACAATCAAGAATCCCCTGTCATAGTTAGTACTGGTCAAATTCAGAAATCGAATCGATTACAGTCTGTCAACAATTTTGATAGTCTTCTACCTATGGTTTTACATCGTTCTAGTCATCGCATTCCTAAAATATCCAGTATACAGGATAATGTAAATGATACAGCAATGACTCGAAAATTACCTTATCAACCAGAAGTTGATTCATCGTTGCAGACTGTCACCGCCATCACTAACAACAACAGTAGAAGAAAATCAAATGAAGAAGTCGATGATAAATCATCACTTCCACCTAGTGAGCAGCAGCCAACTTCTGAGTTTGTAAGTTAAGTTTCCAGTTTTATTGAGATAATTTCTTCAGTTTCAGAATACCATTTTTTATTCATTTTTTTAGGACGTTAAAAATGTTATCAAAGTCATTTTTACAATTCCATAACCTAATGCAGATAACATACCTGTATCTTAAACTGTCTTGTCTATGTTACCATCAAGTGGTTGAGGATTGTCAGTTGACGAGTCTCAGAAAGGACGAAGAATAGTTTAGTCTCACTACTAATCACTGACTAACTGACTGTGAAGGGAGTACCGTGAAAGTATATGACTCTAATCAAAGCTGTCTACTCGAACTCACATAGCCGTGTTCGGGCTTATGGAGAGTTGTTATGTGGATTGACGACAACCACGGTCTCACAGGAAATGACCTTCTACCTGAATGTCATATGGTTGACTTGGAGTATACAGTCGGCATTGTCTTGTTGGTTGAAGATGCTGATAAAACTCAGGGTCTTCTTGACGCGTTGAGAAGAAATCCGAGTACGTTCGACACACGTTCTGCACCTGTGAAATGTAAGATGATGCTCTAGGACTGTGGTCTGCTGCAAGTACTCCCAGTTTAGGGAGTGAAGTGGTGGAATATATCGACTACTTTACGTACACCTGGGGAGTTGCATCAGTCCGAGCGGGCTGGTTGCTGACGTAATCTCAGCTCGAATAGAGAAGGCTCGTTTGGCATTTCCCAACTTGCATCATCTGTGGCGCGGACCGGCTTGATATGCAACTGTCTATCAAAGGACGAGTATAATGTGCTGCTACAGTTCGTTCTATCCCGTTATACTACTGTGAGACATGGCTGTTAAAAATAAAAACGAATCGATTATAGGGTTTTGATCACAAGCGTCTTTGTAGAATTGCTCACATTTGGTGGAATCATCTTGGGAGCAATGATGAAATCAAGTGAAGTGTACCAGACAGGATAGCTAAGTTGATTCGTGAGGATGTGAACCTTCATAGGCTGAAATGGTTTTGACATGTTACTGCACATGTTGAGCCACCACGTACCTCGTTGTGCCATGCTAAGTCAAGTTGAATTAGGTTGGAAGAGGGTCCAAGGTAGCAAGATCAGAACCTGTCATATCTCGATGAAGTCTCTTACTGTTGATCTGAGTCATATGGGGCGATGTAGACTACCTGGTTAGAGTCCCCGAGACGAAAGGAATCAGTTGTTGAGGATTGTTGGTGACGGCTGAAAAACGGTCCCGTTGGTGCAAATGTATTTTCTCTCTGGCGTCTTCTAAAAGTTGAATATTCATACTAACCTTTATCTTTAGATTGTTCATTCTCTCACACTACTTTGATATCATTCTTTTTCTCTCCACCTGTTCCTCGTCTACTACTGTAAAGTGTGGCAACTTGAACCCATGCACTTGTGAACGAGGTTGTACTTTGATTTTGTCTGTCAGTCACTGATCACAATCGATTCTTTCACGAGTGACAAATTACAGAAGAAGAACTAAACAGTCATATTTATTAGGTCCCTCTGTCTGTGACCTCAACGAATGACATTTCTGCACTTCATTTGTCTACTTTATGCCCTTTTTAGTTGGTACTAATCACCACATTGTTAAACTGGTAAGTGTGCATTGAAAGTTAGTTCATTTAATCAGGTATTTGAATATCATTTTGAAATGATGCAACTGCATAGGATGATATTTTTCATACAATCAGTTATCCTGTAAGTGACCTTGACCTCCTTGTTATGATGCCAAATCGTTGATAATCCTTAATATATATGATTCTACTAGCTAAATAGTTTCATCTGTTTACTTTTGATAGAAAAGTTCATCTAAAGTGTAAATTCTTGTTCGCCAGCTAATCTCCACAATCTACATCCCTTTGTGTGTGTGTGTGCATATATATATATATATATATATATATATATATATATATATATATATATCAGACGAGGAAAAAATCAAAGTAGAACCTCAAGGAAGTTACCATGTATATTAAGAATAGGAAAAAATTGATATTCAAGCAGATAAAAAGTACATGACTGAATAGCGTATTCGAAAAATTAGGGTGTCAAAATGTTTAAACCTGGGAAAGATGTCCGCGTCACTGTGATGTCTGATTTTTATTTTTTCCAAGACCCCAGCAAGCCACTCTACACCTTCCTACAAGGCCCAGACTAACAATCAAAGACTTACTCTACTGATGCCATATATTGTTCCAGTCACTCTTAGTTTTCTTCAAACCCAACCCAATGTCACCGAGCATTGTACGTTGAGCCTGACATGCCAATATATGTCTAAGCTATCTCAGTCGATAAAAGTTAACGACCTCACCTACCGATTTGTTTGTCTTGCCTGGTGCATTTCTCTTAACCTCAATACAATGATTCGTTCACTCACGAGAAATGCTACGTAGACGCCTGTGGTCGAAAATTTGTCATCTCTTCACACCTACTTTTAATAGCTTTATCTCATATCCCTATAACGGGATAGAACTCACTGCAGCTACGCAGTATACTCGTCATTTAACACATACTCGGATATCTCCCCAGTTGGCGTCAGAGACGACGGAAATTAGCAAATGCCAGACGAGCCTTCTGTATCCCACCTGAGATTTCGTCATCAATCAGTCTGTTCCGGCTGATGCAACTCCCCAAGTAAGTGAAGTGGTCGATGCATTCCACCACTTCACTCCCTATCCTTAAACTAGGAATAGTTGCAGACCAGTTCTGAAACAATTTCTGCATGATGTATTTGACAGGTGGAAAATGTGTCCCAAGCACACAACTTTCTGCTCACCGCATTCACAAGACCCTGCATTTTGTCAGTGTTTTCGAGTCCCAGGACAATTTCATCTGGGTACTCCAAGTCAACCACACACTACCTTCCAGGGAGTAGACCAATCCTTGTGAAGTCAAGTGTATCTAAGGTCATATACGTTAATACATCCATAATGAAGTTTAACAGGAACAGTCATAGTGGAAATTCATGGCAGACACTACTAGTTGTCAATTCAGATGACAACCCTCTGTTAGCTCTTAGACAGCAGTTTAAGTAGAGAGCCTTAATTAGCGTTACATACTTGCCCAGTGCTCTTTTCACGACCAGGCACTGTCATAACACTTCTCGACCGCTTTCATGTCAAGAAATATAATAGGTGTTGAGCAGTGTTTTGTATGCCTGTGTTCCAGAAGTTGTCGAAGGGCAAAGATCTGATCTATCCAATATCGTCCAGACTCGTAACCTCTCCGGTTTACACTTGTTTGTTTTCGAGCTCCAGTTAGGTGCACAACTATGAGTCCCAGATTCTTGGGTACGATGTTAGTTAAACTGATTCCTGTATGGTTGTCTTGCAGACTGGAATGATCAGTAAAGTAAACCAGTCTCATGGCACTGCGTCTGATTCCCATACAGTATTTAGTACTTCCGTTACTTCACTCTGTAATTTCCTACTTTCATCCTTTAAAATGTTGGTTGGTAAGCCGTCAAGTTCCACTGCGTTGCATCGTTTTAGGTTTGAAATAGGCTTGTCAACTTCGAGGACAGTTGGATGGTTGAGATTTACGTCCGATTCAGGTTCGGGCTGAATGCTCCTTGCCTCGTGTCCCTTGAAATTAACATGTGCAAGTCCTTTTCGTATGCAGTCGCACTAATGATCGTTTTCTTCTTACCAGTATCATTAATAAGGCAATATAATTGCCGAGTATTACATAGTACTGTTGCGTATTCCATCGCTTTGATTTTCGTCACCCACCACTGTTTGTGATCATTGCGGACTTACTTTTAAGCTGCTTCCGCTTCTAATTTTGGTCAAAGTCATCTGGGATCAGTCTTCTTGTATCAGTCAGTTACGATGAGATTGCAGAAATCCACCGGCTTTTACCAGGATTTGGATGTTGGTTACCAGTTGTTGTTATCACTGCTTTTACAGAAGATTGTGTACAAAGTTTTTTCAATAACCTTTTTTCAAATAATCGTTATAGATGCTTTAGATAGTCGACATTGTTGCATTTTTTATAGCTTAGTAAAATATGCGTGTAGTAGTATCCTCTGGTTTATTATTCTATACTGCTGTCAACCATCTACATTAATCAGATGACGGTCAAGTGAGAATAACTTTTTTTTTCTTCCTGCAATAGCCCATCTATAATAATTTAGTGGAACTGCGAGAATCCTTCACTCTTCCAAGTGATGATGGCATAGCACATGGTTTGAAATCTATTCCTATATCTCAGTCATCATTGGCAGTGCATACTTCTACAGTTGGATGCACACAGTCTGGACTATCATTATCTCAGTTTTTACAATCAATTGTCAATGAAGAAGATGGTGATCATCGTCACTCTCAGTCGTCATCATCATCATTAGCCAATTATGTGAATTTGCCAACCTTTTGGTCTACTAATACTCATCCGACTACATCGTCATCAATATTTCATACACCTATGGGATATCAGCAACAACCTATTATTTCATCACCACCTACTTGTCCGTCAAGAGAACATCGATTGTATGCAAATTTGATGTCTAACACAAGTCAACCGCAACAGCTATGTAATAAACAGATAAAATATTGTAAATCCAATTTTAGTCAGTTATCGAAGAGTAATACTCATTATACTGTTGATAGTAATATTGTAAGCAGCAATAATAATGGTAATTTGTCCAATGGAGATATACAATTACCGATAGATAACAATAATCATTATTCACAGATAATGAATTTATTGAATAAATCTAATTCTTACGGTGCTGTTTCATTGAACAATACCATTCCAACTGCACCAACTCAGTGTTGTGTAGCAGCGACGGGAGTGCTTATACCAGCCAATCTACCTACGGAGACTGATTATTCAGACTTACCTGATGAGGTAATATCCTTTTCTCTTCTATATGTTTCCGATATTTTTTTGTTTTTCTAAAATAAAATGAATAGTTCTACATTTCTATTCACTGTAAAGTTTAAGCATGTTTAGTACTAAGTGGAGTTGTGGCTCAGTGGCTTACGGGTTTAAACTCCGCTCCACCTGTCGAAGTTTCTCCAGACACTAGGCATCATTGCCTACTGTAAAAATGTGCTGAGTGATATTGTGTTATAGTAATACTACTACTACTACCCAGGTTCTTTAGGTTCCACGACCATCACGTTACCATTGAGCCACTTTGTTGGAATCCAATCGTTCACATTTCCAACTTCTGATAGTTCATGATGTAGCGTGACGTCCATCGAATGTCTTTGTTGAGTAATTATCCTCATGTTGGATTTGGTTATGACTTTTTAGTAGAGCTGTATGAATCTCATCTCGAAGTTAGTTACCGGTGACTACCAGAGAGTAATTCAATTAGGAGGTGTGTATGAGATTTTATTTACAAACGAAATTCTTTTGTTATACATCTATTAGTTTTGTTATAGTGGATTGTTTCTCGTTCTTTATAGAAATATAAATATTCACATTACTGAAATATTCTTCAGAATGGTTTTTATTGACTATTGTCTATCTTTCATTGTTTGTTCTAGGTTCGTGATCCTAGTCGTAATTATGCAATGGTTGACTTACGACCTAGTCCAGCAAGTTCAACTATTCCATCAGCTGAATTAACTTTAAACTTAATTCAACATCGTAATGAGCATAATGATGGTGGTCAATCGTCTACTACTAGCAGTAGCAGTAATAGTGGTAATGGTTTAAATAACAGTACTAGTACAGGTAGTGATTGTACTAGTGATGCAGCTACTTTAACTTCAGATACTATTGAAAACTATCCAGCAGTTAGAAATAGTAGTCATCTTGATTCAATTAGTCATAGTAAAAAGAATAAATCGAAGAAAAAGAATTCTGTTGGTACTACTGATTCATGTGATGATCATTTCACTACAATTGATTCTATAACATCTCGTCGACGACATAGTCATAGTTTATCATCAGTTTCAACAGATCCACCTATTCTTAACTATGTACATGTTATTACTGGTGTATCATCTAATACACGTTTTACTTCAACTGAAACAACTCAATCATCTGATCCTAGTTCAGTATGTGATCCTAACAGAGAAATAATTACAGATTTAGGCAATTCACCAAGTTCAAGTAGTGGTTTAGGCGGAAATACATCACAATCAAATACATCTTCATTAGCACCTGCATCATCAACTTCTTTTGGTGAAATTTTTTCATGTCGATCTATGACATCTTCAGGTACATCATCAGTAGAAGGTAATCTTGAAGTGGAATTATTAAATGATTCACCTGATGAGAATTGTGTCAAATATACACAACTTGATTTTACACGTACAATGGCATTAAGTGAAATATCATGTGTTATAGGTCAAAATGAACAAAATTCAAATAAATCACCTACAACAATCGGTGTACGCAATACAAATCGATGGAATAATTCTAATAAAATTGATCGTACTACCTCAGTTAAGAAGACATTATATCGTTCTATCCGTTTAATAGGTCGTGGATCACGTAAAAAAATTGGCTAATTAATATTATAGTAAATATGATTAAGTGTTTGCATTTTTATTGTTCCTGTTTTTTTTTTATGAGAGAATATGCATATATGTTTGTTTTCTGTTGTTGTTGTTGTTGTTTTCTTTTCTCCTTTGTTTTATCTTGTATTTTTAAACACGATGACAATGTTTCGTGCAATTATTTGTTTGTTTGCTTTGCTTGCTTGGTAATTTTTTTTTAAAAAAAACCCCTCTGCAAAATCCTTATATTGTATTGTTGACTTGTCTTCTAACAGATAAGAGAAGATTGTCAACTACTACTGATTTCTCAACGTATATACCTCTTGATTTTTGATCCTTTTTCTTTTCCTTCATATTTTATCTCCTTGTACAGTCTAAAATTGTATACTACTCATACTTGATAACAGTATAATAAATAATATCCTTCCTTACATTGAAACAGTTACTTAGTGATTTTATGCACTTCTGGTAGATTTCCTATCTAAATCGTCTGTATATCCATTAGTGGGTAGGTTGATTCAACGCTATTCCATTTTTACCTCTTCATCTTTTGTTTATTGTATTTACTGTTTAAAATGAATGGAAATGGCGCCGTATTTATTACTGCTTTCCTGGTTATGATGGAAACCGCTTTGTACTTACCCATTCCCCCGCTCACAAGTGTTAAACATATTTTTTTTCCAAGGCTTTTCTTCTCTCCTCCCCCCCCCTCTCTCTGTCTATATATATATATATATATATATATATATAATTTGTAAATTATTTCTACGGCTGTATTGATGAATGTCAACTGACTGACCGATCAGTCAAAACATCTCTCTCTCTCTATCAACTTGTTGTTATCTTGATTGATATCCCCAGCATCTTTTTATGACTTGATCTGCGTGTTTATCTATTCACACTCTTGGACATTTCGTCGTTGGAGGTTATCACTACTTCTAACTGTTTGTTTACTAATTTACTCACTTAATTTCGGTATGTTTGTTTTTGTGTTGTTTTTTCTCCTTGTATTATTTAAGTTTTCTTCCTGTCCTTCCCCTCGGTGCCCTGCTGTCCTCTTCAAGAATCACTGCTTATGGGTATATGTGTAAACAATAATAACCTGTGAGGTGAAATGTTTCACTACTCATCATGTATCTTCCTTTGCCTCTGTCATTATTATTGTTACACTGTTTTGTATCTCGAACAAATGTGTTTTAAATAGTTACCTTTTCTGACTAAATTATGTGAAGGAGAAATGTACAATTTTGCCTATCTTATTTCTTTCGTATTTATGATCTCCAGTTTATTTGTTACCATTTGATTTGATTGATCTCTCATTCCCCTTTTTCTGACAGTGTCAGTTTTTTTTTTACTTTCTCTTCTTGTTTTTATTGATTACAACAGTACCGGGTTACTGCTAGTAATGACAATGGATTAGTCTTGTTAGTTTCCCCGTAGTATAGTAACTAGTAATTGCGTTCACTTGGGTTGTACAAGTGTACTCATATGGACGGTTGACAGAGAGTGGTTTTTATTGACCTACCATTGCCTACTGTCATCTTCTCTTGCTAACACACACACACACATACTTGGAGTAAGTATGTTCACATTGTCTACTCATGGAATATTTGGTGTTTATTCTAGTGTATGCCTTGATTATTATCTTATTCCCCATATCTTCTGTCTGTCCGACATTTCTTTTGTGTAAGACATCATCATCAGGAGTGAATATGTCTGAGCACCTGCCTGTTCACCTGTTATACCCGGAAGCTGTATGTAAATATTACTATTATATGTATTGTATCGCGGCTGATTCGTCATTGTTTCCTATCTCTTTTCTTCATTCAGCAGTTTTCTCATTTTCTACGTGTGTTATATAACAATTACTATGCTGTTTCATCGTTTACATTCACCATCTCTTTCCGATATGTTTTATTCTTATTACCTTGTATTACTCTCATAGTGATGATGCAGTGGAAATATAAGTATGTAGGAACAACACTTTTACCTCTGTCTTATTGTTATTACAGGTAAATGTTACTGTATTGTTGTTGTTTTTAGGCGCGAGGGTTGCGTGTATGTATGTGTGGATATTTTCTGTGTATCAGTTGTCAACAGAAGGAGAATAATTACAATGACTGCCTCGTGGTTGTTTTCATCTCTCTTGTAGTTTTCTTCACCTTCTCCATGCATATATATGTATATGCATGTGTGTTTCTGGCTTTGATTAGGATCACCTGATTCACTGTCCTATTTTTTTTGTTTATTCTACACTGTGTCAGTTCCCCGCTGTACACACTCCTACTCGATCGTCACCATCATCATTATAATTATAATTTTAATAGAAATCAGGCTATCTTGTTCTCAAACTAATACTCATCTTCTTTTTCTCCTCTTTTCTGTTGATTCCTGTCTTACAGAATAACATCTCGACCTTCTTCTTCTTCTTTGGTTGTTGGTTTGTTGTGTTTTTATTTTTTTATACGAACTGAGTACATATACTTCAATGTGTTTATGGTTTTCTCCATATATATATATATATATATGCATATGAATTCTTAAACAACTTCATTTTCCTTTTAATTATTTATTAGAAAGCACAAACCAATTGGTTGATCAGTCTCTTTCTCAGTTAGGCGTACATAATGTTCGCCATCTATGTGTATATTAATTTAATAAATGAATTGAGATGATAGTAAGTTGTTGAAAACCAAAAACAACAATTGTTTTTGTCTTCTTCTGAACCCTCTAAGTGTGAAACACACTGAATATGGAGTGTGTATGACTATTAGTTTGTCTGTTGTGCTGTTCAATGCATGATTTATGCTCAAAAGCCCACTGCGTAACCGTATACTTTTTACAGACTGGTTTGTTGATCCTCAAATCTATCACTCAATAATGGTGGATATTGTAAGCATCTGTAGAAATTGAGTTAGGTGCTTCTAGAACTTACACCTACTCAGTGGAGCTGTGGCTTATTGAGTTAGAAAAATGATTTTCAACCACTAGAACATGGGTCCGAGCCCTGCTCAACCTACCGACGTTTGGCCAGCCAGGTGATGTAGTTAACGCTCACATACACAATAGGTATGGCACGAATGTGTATAAAGTTGTTTAGTGGATTTTGATAGATTAGATTACGCCTACGCAATACATGTTAAACTGAAGGGAACATTTTTTATTTAACCGATAATAGGTCGTAATCAAAATTATTTTCTACTTTAAATTACAATCTAGATATTTTAAATTGAGAATGCTAGTTTTATTTATCTATGGTTGGATATGGCTAATTAAACTTCCTCACAATTTGCAATTCAAATTCTGATACACCCACTTCAATTTAGTCTGTATCATGGACTCTCAGAAGACTGAAAGTGCTTCACAGTCTGGCACATAAACCCACTCGATGTTCAAGGAAGGCTGTACAAGAAATCATTACAAGGAGATCGATCATTTTCCAACGCCTAAAAAGCGTGTATTGTAATCAAACAGGACTTTGTTTAATCATGGAGTGTAACACTCGTGTAAGAAAGGAATTTTTATTATGACATTTTGTACAGTACTGATGAAATATTGTACACGATGTGCTTCATTTCCTCTTTTTCTTCTATCTCTATTTCCTCTTGATACGTCCACATTGTCTCTTGCGTTTTTCTGGGCAGTATAATTACTCATCGCTGGTGATTTCTGTCAACCTCTCAACATATACTACTATTACCCATTCTTATCAGTAGCATCCACACACTTGCAGTATTTAGGTACGATTGAGGCTGGTTAATCATTTAAAAACTCCTGGTAAACTTGTATTTCGTTACAAATTGTAGAATCATGAAGTTAGAAGTTAGTTATGCCATACAACCATGATACTCATCTGAAGCGTTTGTCTGACACAGTTCTATGATTTAAACGTGAATGAGTCAGCTCAGTTAATTATTCAGGATGTGTAACATGCAGCTTGATTTCTGCGCTGGTTAACTTCCTACTTTCAATCAACTTCATCATGCTAAGCACCTTTTTTCAAATATAATCTATGTGAGTATAGAGCGTTGAGAATCAGTTCGCACTGTATTCTACTAGTAGATTTCTATTCAATACGACATCATTTTGTCTCTGGTCTCTTCTGTAGTACAAATGTTTATCCTTCACCTTCATAGAATCGAATACATTCAGCTGTACTACTTCCTGTTGTTATATCTTTGCTTGTCTCAGTGGAACTACCTGAGTGAGGTTACTGTCTACTAGACCAAGTCAGTGAACTCGACACTCATCATGACTGATGAACATTCCCGAAACCCAACCGGTGTGCTAGTCAACTTGTTTATATTCAATAATGTACATTTGCATGATTATCAGTACTACAAAACGGTCTCATTTATATACATTAGAACTGCAGTCGGTAAAATATCGCTTCAAACAGTTTTTCAATCATCGATATTAAGTATGTCGAGCAGTAAAAAATCAATAAATTGCCTATCAATAGCTAGAATACTGGTGTTCTATCCACTATGACATGAAAAGACTCTGAGTAGGTCATAATTCATCCGTCAACATTTCCAAAGACTGTCGATGTTTGATTAGGCGAGACTGATCTCTGGCTTATATTGGATATTACCTATTGCTATTTGTTGTTTGTTTTCCGATCGAAGTTTATATGCCCCAAATTGATAAATACAGTCTGATGTCACGGAATCTGTGTCCAACAACTATCAAGTTGATGTCTGGATAAATAGCGTTTTTATGGAATCTAATAAATTACCAATGTAAGCTGTTGTAGTTTCCCGTTGCTATACATGGCCGAGTTGTCTTACCTCTGGTGGCAGATAAGCTCCTATGCGGATGCCTCGATACTGCCTGACATTCATGATGTCATATTAATCTTGATGACTAGCAGAGGAATCCAGGACGTGTTTCTTCGTATTTGGGACTCATCAGTTGGATGTGCCTGCATCACGATGAGCTTTGTTGTTCCCACCGAGGGTCGAACCCGGTACCTTTCGCTTCAAGCTCGTTATCCATTGGGGCACGATAAC